ATGATCTGCTGATGATCCTGAATATCTTGTTGAATGAGTGTTGATAGTCTGAGGATCATCAATATTAACAGACCTGCTGAAAACACTCTTTATTTCATGACAATAGTTCCTGTTTTCACCTCATTTATTATGCTGATGTCTTCAGATCTCCTGTAAATTGACACTTAAAGCTCATTTCATTAATAATTAAAACGTTTTAGTAAAATGAATATCAATCTTCTTTGCACATATGGTAGTTGAGAGTTTCAAGCAGTGTTTAATAAAATTGTTTCAATTCACTTAAATTTAGACACTTTTTTTTACCCCAACTGTGGTATCGATTTAGTATCGATACCGAGGTATTAGGTTCTGGTATCGTACCGAAGCCAAAATTGTGGTATCGAGCCATCTCTATCCAGGAGAGACTCCCTTGATTCCTGCCAGTTCCATAGTGAGAGTGGCGCGGCCAGAGACATTTTGGGCACTGCGCCTGCGGCATATTGAATGTATTATAAACAGTTTTTACGCGAGATAAATACAAAAGAACGAAACGAGGATGTCAAGCCGCAATGCCATAACTGAAAGGAGGCTATTTATTAAAATGAAAGGAGTAGAAAGTAGCCTACAGATAATTGCGTGAATAGCTTATGTAAGGAGTAGAAGTAAAAAGTCGTCTGAAAAATAATTACTCCAGTAAAGTATAGATACCCAAAATGTGTGTTTGGACAGAATACGAGACAGAGTTATTTATTAAATTCATAAAAGACAAAATAGAGGAATACTGGCTTCTAAATAAGTGAGCGAATCAACGCTGCGCTAATGCATGTATGGGATACCCTGAAGTTGCAATTGCGTGTTATGAAGTCAGAATTCTCTTTTTTTCTCAGAATTGCGACTTTATATCTCGCAATTGCGACTTTATTTCTCACAATTCTGACTTCATATTTCGCAATTGTGAGATAAAGTCACAATTATTTATTTAATTTTATTCAGTGGTGGAAACAAGTTTCCATATCTTTTGTAAGTGTAGAAAACGTTTTGTCTTTTATTTTGTAATTTGTGTGTACGTTTCCAGGTGTGTCGGTCACATGGGTATTGGTGTGTATATACCTGGTAGTGTTTCCTGTTCGGGTAGCGTAGAGAGGGGGTGAGTAGCGGGAGTGCTCACTTTCTGTTGAGCTTTACATGTATGTTCTTCGTTGTCTCTACGCGTAGTCTGTTACCATGTCAATAAAAGCTACTGAATATTCCATACCATCTTCCTCCGACCATCCGGGCCCGGGTCGCGGGGGCAGCAGTCTAAGCAGAGATGCCCAGACTTCCCTCTCCCTAGACACTTCCTCCAGCTCTTCTGGGGGGATACCGAGGCGTTCCCAGGCCAGCCGGGAGACATAGTCTCTCCAGCATTTCCTAGGTCTTCCCCGGGGCCTCTGCCCAGTGGGACGTGCCCGGAACACCTCCCCAGGAAGGCCTCCAGGAGGCATCCGGAACAGATGCCCGAGCCACCTCAGCTGACCCCTCTCGATGTGGAGGAGCAGCGGCTCTACTCTGAGCTCCTCCCGAGTGACCGAGCTTCTCATCCTATCTCTAAGGGATCGCCCAGCCACCCTGCGGAGAAAGCTCACTTCGGCCGCCTGTATCCGGGATCTTGTCCTTTCGGTCATGACCATAGGTGAGAGTAGGACCGTAGATTGACCAGTAAATCGAGAGCTTTGCCTTGCGGCTCAGCTCCTTCTTCACCACAACAGACCGGTACATCGACCGCATTTCTGCTGAAGCTGTACCGATCCGTCTGTCAATCTCCTGTTCCATCCTTCCCTCACTCGTGAACAAAACCCCAAGATACTTAAACTCCTCCACTTGAGGAAGGATCTCTCCACCAACCTGAAGTGGGCAAGCCACCCTTTTCCAGCTGAGGACCATGGCCTCGGATTTGGAGGTGCTGATTTTCATCCCAGCCGCTTCACACTCGGCTTCAAACCGTCCCTGTGCATGCTGAAGGTCCTGGTATGAAGGGGCCAACACGACAACATCATCCGCGAAGAGCAGAGACGAAATCGTGTGGTCCCCAAACCTGACACCCTCCGGCCCCTGGCTGCGCCTAGAAATTCTGTCCATAAAAATTATGAACAGAACCGGCGACAAAGGGCAGCCCTGCCGGAGTCCAACATGCACCGGGAAGAAGTCTGACTTACTACCGGCAATGCGAACCAAGCTCCTGCTTCGGTCATACAGGGACCGGACAGCCCTTAGCAAAGGACCCCGGACCCCATATTCCCGGAGCACCCTCCACAGGCCGCCTCAGGGGACACAGTTGAATGCCTTCTCCAAATCCACAAAACACATGTGGACTGGTTGGGCAAACTCCCATGAACCCTCCAGCACCCTGTAGAGAGTATAGTGTTGGTCCAGTGTTCCACGGCCCTTACAAAAACCGCACTGTTCCTCCTGAATCCGAGGTTCCACTATCGGCCGTATTCTCCTCTCCAGTACCCTGGCATAGACTTTCCCAGGGAGGCTGAGAAGTGTGATCCCCCTGTAGTTGGAACACACCCTCCGGTCCCCCTTCTTAAAAAAGAGGAACCACCACCCCGGTCTGCCATCCCAGAGGCACTGTCCCCGACTGTCAACCAAGACAGCCCCACAGCATCCAGAGACTTGAGGTATTCGGGGCGGATCTCATCCACCCCCGGTGCCTTGCCACCGAGGAGTTTCTTGACTACCTCGGTGACCTCAGCTAGGGTGATGTACGAGTCCACCCCTGAGCCCTCAGCCTCTGCTTCCTCAATGGAAGACATGACGGCGGGATTGAGGAGGTCCTCGAAGTATTCCTTCCACCGTCCGACGACATCCCCAGTCGAGGTCAACAGCCGCCCACCCCTACTGTAAACAGCATTGGTAGGGGACTGTTTCCCTCTCTTGAGGCGCCGGACAGTTTGCCAGAATCCTTTCGAGGCCAGCCGATAGTCCTTCTCCATGGCCTCACGAACTCCTCCCAGGCCCGAGTTTTTGCCTCCAGGACCACCCGGGCCGCAGTCCGCCTGGCCTGCCGGTACCTGTCAGCTGCCTCCGGAGTCTCACGAGCCAACCAGGCCCGATAAGACTCCTTCTTCAGCTTGACGGCATCCTTTACTTCCGGTGTCCACCACCGGGTTCGAGGATTGCCGCCTCGACAGGCACCAGAGACCTTACGGCCACAGCTCCGAGCAGCCGCTTCGACAATGGAGGTGGAGAACATGGTCCACTCAGACTCCATGTCTCCAGCCTCCCTCGGGATCTGGTCGTAGCTCTGCCGGAGGTGAGAGTTGAAGATCTTTCTGACAGGAGATTCGGCCAAATGTTCCCAGCAAACCCTTACAGTACGCTTGGGTCTGCCGAGTCCGTCCAGCCTCCTCCCCCGCCATCGGATCCAACTCACCACCAGGTGGTGATCAGTTGACAGCTCCACCCCTCTCTTCACCCGAGTGTCTAAGACATACGGCCGCAGGTCAGATGAAACGACCACAAAGTTGATCATCGACCTACAACCTAGGGTGTCCTGGTGCCACGTGCACTGGTGGACACCCTTATGCTTGAACATGGTGTTTGTTATGGACAAACTGTAACTAGCACAGAAGTCCAATAACTGAACACCACTCGGGTTCAGGTCGGGGGGCCGTTCCTCCCAATCACGCCCCTCCAGGTGTCACTGTCGTTGCCCACGTGAGCATTGAAGTCCCCCAGTAGAACAAAGGAGTCCCTAGTCGGGGCACTTTCCAGCAACCCTCCCAGAGACTCCAAGAAGGCCGGATACTCTGCACTGCCGTTTGGCCCGTAGGCACACACGACAGTGAGAGACCTATCCCCGACCCGTAGGCGCAGGGAAACGACCCTCTCGTTCACCGGGGTAAACTCCAACACATGGCGGCTGAGCTGGGGGGCTATAAGCAAACCCACACCAGCCCGCCGCCTCTCACCATGGGCAACTCCAGAGTGGTGAAGAGTCCATCCTCTTTCAAGGACTGTGGTTCCAGAACCCAAGCCATGCGTAGAGGTGATCCCCACTATCTCTAGTCGGAACCTCTCAACCTCAAGCACAATCTCGGGCTCCTCCCCTGCCAGTAAGGTGACGTTCCACGTCCCTAAGGCTAGATTCCGTGTCCAAGGATCGGGTCGCCAAGGCCCCTGCCTTCGACTGCCGCCCAATCCTCTCTGCACCGGCCCCTTACGGCTCCTCCTGCAGGTGGTGAGCCCACGGGAAGACGGTCCCACGTCGCTTCTTCGGGCTGAGCCCGGCCGGACCCCGTGGGGAGAGGCCCGGCCACCAGGCACTCGCATACGAGCCCCAACCCCGGGCCTGGCTCCAGGGTGGGGCCCCGGCTGCGCCATACCGGCGACGTCACGGTCCTTTTATATAATTCTGTCATAAGGGGTTACTGAATATTCATTGCAAGAAAACGCGTCACGGATATTTCCTGCTACTTAGCCTCTTAACCTTAGCTATAGGTTGCCGCTACATCTTTCATGGAACGTTTAAGGACCGTATTTTATAGCAGTTGTCTACTTTCTACTATTACATTAGGACTCACTTTCATATCCTTTCACTTTATATTTCTCTCTTTGAATTATTTTGATGTACTGAAAATTAAATGTACTATTTTTTTTCTTTCATTCAGACCTGATGGAAGAAAGCGAGGCAAGAGAAGAACTGAGTGAAGTGAAGGAGGAGAGAGTAGAACTGAGTGAAGTGAAGGAGGAGAGAGAAGAACTGAGAGAAGTGAAGGAGGAGAGAGAAGAACTGAGTGAAGTGAAGGAGGAGAGAGTAGAACTGAGTGAAGTGAAGGAGGAGAGAGTAGAACTGAGTGAAGTGAAGGAGGAGAGAGAAGAACTGAGAGAAGTGAAGGAGGAGAGAGAAGAACTGAGAGAAGTGAAGGAGGAGAGAGAAGAACTGAGTGAAGTGGAGGAGGATCATCATGTCCAACCTGGAGGAAAACCTTTGAGTCGCTCAAAGACTAAAAGTATATTTTTAAAGAAAAGACGAGCCAAGAAATCTTTCACCTGCACTCAGTGTGGAAACAGTTTCACAACCAAAGCTAATCTTGAGATTCACATGAGGATCCACACCGGAGAGAAGCCGTTCAAATGTGATCAGTGCGGGAAGAGTTTCAGTCTATCTTCATCCCTTAATGATCACATGAGGATCCACACCGGAGAGAAGCCGTTCACATGTGATCAGTGTGGGAAGAGATTCAGTCGATCATCAAACCTTAATGTTCACATGAGGATCCACACCGGAGTGAAGCCGTTCTCATGTGATCAATGCGGACAGACATTTCTCAGTGCATCACACCTGAAGACACACCTGAGAGTTCATACAAAGGAGAAGCCGTATTCATGTTCTGTCTGTGGAAAGAGTTTTTCACAGCTGCCAACTTTACATAGACATGAAAAAACTCACACTGGTGTGAGAGAGTACATGTGCTTTGAGTGTGAGAAGACTTTTACTACAGCGGACAGTTTAAAACACCACGAGAGAATTCACACTGGAGAAAAACCTTACAAGTGTTCACACTGCGACAAGAGATTCAGTCAGTCGTCATCTCTCAAAACACATCAGAGGATCCACACTGGAGAACAACCTTACAAGTGTTCACACTGCAACAAGAGATTCAGTCATTCAGGACATTTGAAAACACATGAGATGATCCACACTGGGGAAAAACCTTACAAGTGTTCACACTGTGACAAGAGATTCAGTCGTTCATCATCTCTGAAAAAACATGAGATGATCCACACTAGAGAACAACCTTACAAGTGTTCACACTGTGACAAGATATTCAGTCGGTCAGAACATCTGAAAACCCATGAGAGGATCCACACTGGACAGAAGCCGCACATGTGTGATCAGTGATGTAAATTAGCCCTGTGGCTATAATCCGACATGTTTACGTCTGTTTTGTTGTCTCAATTCAGAAAGTTATTAATGTGCACTGTCCCTATCAAATAAATAAATAAATAAAAAAATAAAAAGTGTGAGTCGAGTTTCTCTATTAAAACTCACCTGAAGCTACACATGAAGAGCCACACAGTGGAGAAACCACTTAAACACAGTCTGAAATCACGGTAGGTATGTAAGTTTCTTCTGTGTAAGTTAGCCACACATCACCCTATGGCCAAATCTCTCCTCTTCACCTGTAGCCGGTGTGTGGTGAGCACAGGACACTATTATATCTACATTTTACATTTATTAATTTAGCAGACGCTTTATCCAAAGCGACTTACAATTGATATGTCAGAGGTCGCACGCCTCTGGAGCAACTAGGGGTTAAGTGTCTTGCTCAGGGACACATTGGTGTCTCACAGTGGATTCGAACCCGGGTCTCTCACACCAAAGGCATGTGGCACTGCGCCATCACCACCCCTTACAACCCTGTGTTCAACCATCAGGAATGTGTAATTTGTCAGTTCAGATCAATGCGGAAAAAAAAATCACTCTCTGACAGTAGGTGGCGCTCATGTAAAAGCAGAAATAAAAACACTATACAGTGCACTAGACCAAGTGTAAATTGTCACATTTTGCGACCTAAAACATGCATTTCAGCTCAAACCAAAAGATATTTGGCAAATTGTTATCAGCTCAATTCCAGATGTTCTGATCTAAAGATACTACAAGTTTTGAAGACAGGCACCATTGTGCAGTCAGTGAATCAAAATGAGCCTGAGAGTGAAATCTTGAATAGACTAAAACAACACCTTTATGATCCGCGGGTTTGTAGTCCTGTTGGATGGGGATTGTTTTTCAATCGGAAACAGAGTACTGAAGAATCGTTTGAGACCCATGCAGAAAATATGTTTGAACTTTTTGAGGAGTATTCTGGAATTGAAGGTGTTGTCCACAAGAGTATAATTTTCCAGGAATTCCTGCTTACAACTGCAGGACCACATGTGCACTGCCCTACAAAGGCAAAAGACCTTAACCTGCTAGAGTGTGGAACTGAGAAAAACGACTTTTAAAGTTTTTTTTAGTTGTTCCTTTATAGGTAGGACACTGGAAATCTGGCAATTAGATGTTTTAGTAATGAGAAGTATCTACATAAAAAAATATTGATTCCTGTCACAAAACAGGCCATACAGAGGAAAAGTGCTGGTCACTTGCCGCAACAGGACCAAATTTGCATCACAATTGTCATCAGCAACCTTTGGCACCTTAGGTTGGAGCATGGTCACACAAACAAACCGCTAAATACAGTCACACATGTAGTGTTAAATCAAATTCACTGGAACCGCACATAAACTGAATTGTTTCCTTATTGGAACGATTTTCTTTAAGGCAATTTATTTATGTTTCATGTAACAGTACTAGAGATTCTAAAACTTCTTTTTGACACAATTTCTATTTTTGCCCTTTTAAAGACACGGGAACCCCATATCTCAAATCATGTACTATGTCTTTAAACGATCGCAGCCACCACACTTGGCTGGAGTTACGTCCTGCTTCTTATGTGGGGGTCTGTATCTCGGGCCCTGGGGGCGGTCTCTTTCGAAAGGTATCGGCCCGTTCTCCACTCGATAAAAATTTGGCATCGATACGTTGAGTTTTTGCCGAGATATTTGCGATTTTCTCCCGAGCTCGTGACTTCCTCAGCGGGCACCATTTCAGGGCGCGGCCGACGGTTTTCGGCTAACATCTCCGCGAATACTCCACCAAAAATGACGAAACGCATATGGTTTTGTTCAGTTCGGCGAGACGGTTCGAAGGAGCCCGGTCTCCGACGGATACGTTGAGTTTTCGCCGAGATATATGCATATTTTGCTTCCGGAGGGGCTTTGGGGGCCTGTATCTCGGGCTGCCAGGGGCCCACGAGGCTGTGGGTGGTCTCTTTCGAAAGGTATCGGCCCGTTCTCCACTCTATAAAAATTTGGTGTCGAAACGTTGATTTTTTTGCCAAGATATTTGCGATTTTCACTTCCGGAGGGGCTTTGGGGGCCTGTATCTCGGGCCCCCGGGGGCCCACGAGGCTGGGGGTGGTCTCTTTCGGAAGGTCCGTTCTCCACTCAAAAAAAAAAATTGGCACTGAAATGTTGATTTTTCACCGAGATATTCGGCCGACGGTTTTCGGCTAATATTTCCGCGAATGCTCCACCAAAAATGACGAAACGCATATGGTTTTGTTCAGTTCGGCGAGACGGTTCGAAGGAGCCCGGTCTCCGACGGTACTGTATCATCATCTGTTGAGTGTACTTGTATGCAAAATATACCTCAGCACACATATACACATAAAATACTCTATGAAATTATTATGAAAATGAATAAAGAAAAATAATACAAAAAAATAACATAATTTTTTCAAATGAGAACGGCTTCTCTCCGGTGTGGATCCTCTCTTTCTTTTAAGATTTGTTACACATTACACAAACGAGCGACCATATGAATCACAGTCTGTTGGCCCGTTTTTATTTTATTTAATTTTATTTTTATTGACAAATAATTCAAATTACAGACTTCAGCATACACCAAGAATGCTTCACATGACAAATATCCTATGTCCTGAAATAAGTTTCCAAAACAAAAAGAAACAACAAGAGAGAAAGAAAAAAAAAACTAAATATTTCTTCCTTTTTCCTTTTGACAAGTTCAATGTTCATGGAATTTGGTAAACATATGGGGGCATTAATTACAATTTAAAGAATTCCTCCACAAAGTTTAACAACGTTTCATTCTTTTTATTTTTAATTAATTTTAATGACTTCCTCAATGATTCAATCTCTATTAAGAATAGGCTACGATGCATTTTGCTAATTTTTGCTTATGGATATAATATTTACCATGCAAAATGTATGGAATTCACCACATATTCATACAATCATTTAGAGATAATTTATAATTCACTTTTCTTGGAGCAAGAAGAAAATAACTTCAGACTAAAATCTGACCAAACTTTTTTTAGATAAATCACATTTATAAAACAGATGAGCCAAATCTTCCTCATTTTTATTAAAATAAAAAATTTTGTCAATGTCCATGAATTTGGATAACAAAGCTTTACACGGGTAGATTTTATGAAGTGTTTTAAAGTGTCTGTTGGCGCGTTTTCGAACATTTACGGTTGCTGCTGATGACGTCACCGCTCACTCGCGCCGTCTCTTCCGTCATTGAGTTTCAGTGCGCATGCGCTTGCTGCGAATAACGCCGCGCTGCTGAGGCGGGATGTATTTCAGTGAACGAGAACGATTAACTGAACTAGTTTCAGCGTCGAGTCTTATGAGGCGAGGAGAGCAGTTCACGGTATTTCTTTTATTCACACACACTTTATACAGTTTGATTAAGCGACAGACCCATTTCTGTGTTGTTTTCATCGATCACAGCGACACTTTTCTGTCCGTCTTTTCTGGCGTCTTCGTCCTGAAATACACATTTAGTGCAGCAGCAGCGAGTCTGAGGAGAATATGTGGAGTTCATTCATACCTGAGCGATTTTGTGCTTTTGTGTTCGTTTGTGTGCTTTTGTGTTCGTTTGTGTGATTGTTTCGATGTTTGAAGTGAGAACTTTTTTACTGAATGTCAAGTCAAAAGTCAAAGTTTGTGATCTGTGAGTGGAATTGATAGAAATCTGTTGAATGAGGACACATACATAACTCGTTTTTTTTGTGTATAACGTTGATTCTTTACTGGAGAACTGGATTAGTCACATGTAGGCTAGTTTTTGGACCAACATTACCATTGTACAGTACATTTTCTACAGAATCGATCTCAATTGTCATTATTAAAATATACTGGAAAAGATACTGCTAAATACTTTACATTGATTTAGCCATATTAAATCAACATTTATTGATCGAACATCTGTTAATTCACTTTGATATAGAACATTATAATGTTATATGTATTGTAATCTTTCTAAGTGAAGAGAAGGATGTGTAAAGGGAAGGAAGTGGGGGGGGTATGGCAGTTGATTCTGTTCCCTACCGGAATTCCTGTTCCCTTTACACAATCATACAATGCGTAGTTGCCGAGTTACCATACATTTTTTATTTTACTTTTTTAAACTTTAAAAAAAAAAAGTTTAATTGAACAATAAGAATAGAACAAAAACAGAATACAATGGCATTGATAGATACAGGTAAATGAGTATTAAGCAAGGCACATATCAATTAAGGTAAATAATAATTACAAAAAATAAATACATTAAAAAAAATTACAAAGGGGTCTCTTTATTCCTCTTGTAAAGGCTCAAGGTCTCTTTTAATTCCAGCTGTGAATTACTGTGTAGAATAATTATTATTTGCCATCAATTTGGAAATTGGAGGAATGTCTGCGAACTACATATTTATGTGTGTCTTTTTTATGTCAAATGGGTATGTGCCTTGAGTTTTGTAATTCATGATTTCTTCATTCATTTTTGGATCCATTGTTGGAATGTGGCAGCAAGAATTAAAATTCAGAAGACACTAATGTTGTGTGGTCATCTCCCCAATTTATAACACCATTTATCAACATGGTTAATTTATTCATTTAATTAGTGCCCTCTGAAATTGAATTAATTATGTTTAGAGTGTTATGTTGCATAGTCTATGTCTTCCATGTGACAAATAATAATTAAGATAGTAACAGCAATATATGTTTTTATACCATGGGATCCCTTTAAATTCTTAAATTAGATCAATATACAGTATAAATGGTTCAGTGAATCTTTGACTCAAAATAATTTGTTCAAAACACTGAATCGTTCAGATGAAGTCACGATTATGTGTTTGTCAGATATGCGTTACGGTTCTTCTAAAATCTTTGTTTGGAACTATTTTGGAGCTGCTGAAATGGAACAAAAACAGTCAGTGTCTAAAATGTAAGTGACTTAGGCCAATATTCATTACTTGTTACGTTCCACTTGTGTTTTTGTATTTTTCTTCATTCATTTATATAATTTTTTTATTTTGGCAGATCAGCTCCTCCCATACTGGAAGACATCAGTGAAGCTCCTCCCATTGCATCCATATCATCAGGGAAGCTCCTCCCACTGCAATCACATCATCAGTGAAGCTCCTCCCACTGCAATTCTCCAATAAATGCTGTAAATTCCCATCAGCTTCAAGTGAAGACGAGCATCAGGAAGAGCTGAAATCTTCCAAGACTGAGTTTATTAAAGAGGACCGTGAGAACATGAGTGATCCAGAACCCTGCAGAATGAAACACACTGAAGATCCTGAAGAACAAAGAGGTTGGTGTTTACTCTTCATTCATTCATGATGCTGGAGAACATTCATGTTAGAAACATTCAAGCACTTCATCACTTTTAGATAAACAGTTCAACTATGAAATAGTACAGAATGTTCTGGGTTTCTTCAACAAATGGTCAGTAAAGGGAGATTTGAGACATTTTTATATTGATCGTCAACCTCAGACTATTTTAACTGTATTATTTTACATTTATTTTATATCTGGTTCCCAATTTGCAACAACGTTACAAGAATTTTAGTAATTTTCAACAGTTTACAATTTTTTTTTTTTTTGGGAATAATCAGTAAACACTAAGTTACTGCTAAAGTTGTATTTGTCAAATATAATATAAGTCATTAATAGTTATAGTCAGAGATTCTTCTTACAGTAACTTTGGTAACAGGGTTGATGAATATAGTCAATGCTACAGTTTGTGTAAAAACTGAGACAATGGATTGAGATTGGTCTTCCCAATCATTTGTCCTCTTGTCTTCCTATCAAGTATCAGAAAGAGCCCAGATGATAATAATTAATCAGATAATATGTTTTAGCAAAGCGAGCATGCCTAATGCAGGGCTCAACATAAAAAAATCCCCACTGGCCCACTGGAATATGTTTTAGCAATAAATAATTCTAGTTCAGTGCTAAGAATTTAATTGTTGTTTTTATTTATATTGTTGTCCATTCATCAAACTTCCATGCCTCTTATATAATAATTATATATTACTATGTACCAATTTACCAATGTCTCTCTCACTCTCACACACTCGGCCTCTCTCGTGCGCGTGCAGACACACTAGGCCTCTCTGAAAAGTTCACACACGTTTGTACAGCTTGTTTGGTTTAACTGTTTACACGTCAAAAGCGTACGTTTTGTTCTAGTCAAAACACATGTTTTCAACGGCCATTTTTGTTATTATAAACGCGCGTCAAAAACACGTGTATTTGGTGGCCCCAAAGCGCACGTTGCATACGTCAGTTTTAAATAGCCGATCACTCGTCAAGGATTAACCGGTTATCCGATTAACCATTTAAAATTTCATAACCGAGTGAAACCTTTTTGCTTGGTTAAGTGGCGTCAATACATATTTGCACAAAACTTTTGCGTTTTTTTTCTTCCGAATGTCGATTAAAAAAATAATGTGAAATGATGGCGTTTCCATTAACGATGTTATGCAACTAAAACATCTTTTTTTAACTTTCACAATAAGTCATTCCAAAAATAATGGCAACGGATGTTGGTAGGCTATATCACAGCCACCGCACTAGACATTATTATTATTTATGGAAGGAGACGTGGTGTGTTATCAAGATCCTCGCTGTCGTTCAAACCAGCATGTTCCAACCAAATTTGTGTGAAGCGTTCTTTAAACTCTGCAACACTTTCTCCAATCTTCTGCGTACTAATTCTAGCCCAATTAACCTCTGCAGGTTTCAGCTCAAACAAGAATGTTCGTACAGCTTCCCATCCAGCCTCAATGTTTTGTTGAGACTTGCCAACTCTGTTTTCAATACTTTCAGTTATCCTCTTTTGGTCATTGTCCCTCAGGTTCACATTAACAATCATCACACCATCGACTGGATGTAAATGGTAGTTTTTCTGTAAGCGTTGAAGAAATTGCCATACTTTTCATGGTTGTTCGTTAGGGCTGGGTATCGATTCACATTTCAATTTCGATTCGATTTCGATTCACAAGCTCTCAGTTCGATTCGATTTCGATTCTCGATTCAATTTTCGATTTTGATTCCTGATTTGATTCTCGATTCGACTATAATGAAGATGTAATATAAATCCTATATTTATAAAAAAGAACAGTGGACATAAGTTTACTAATGGTTAATTAATACAAGGAAATTAAGAGCCATAAACCTGTATATAAAACTCTTTTTATTTACTAAATGCATACAAAGAATAAACAGGATTTTGATGCAATATACAAAAAAAGTCAGAACAGGCGCACAGCTTGATCAAACAGTATCATGTTATTTTATGTTTAAGATAGATATAGATAAATACATATATAAATATTTAGACATTTTTTTTACATTGATCTTACCTAAATGGTAGGGGTGGCACGGTTCACGAAACCGACGGTTCGGTTTGTATCACGGTTTTAGTGTCACGGTTTTCGGTTCTGTACGGTTCTTGTTATTTTTTTCTTTTAATCTTTAACACTTCAGAAATGTACTTCAGCATGTGATATATAGCTTAATTATCCACACTTTAGGATACAGTATAAAAAAAATTATATTCATGCAATCATGCACAAACTGAATTTGACTCTTTGACTTTAAGCACATTTTGGGACTATCTCAGAGGAAAGCTAGGTGAGATTTTGACACAGCAAGAGAGAAGAAATTGACATGCTTTTCGTTTATTTGGCAAAAAAAGGAGAATGTGTATCACTATCTCTACAAGAACTTGTGCATTTTTATCACACAAATCTTATTTACACAAAGAAATTAACTTGCATTTATGAACTGACAACTTTTGTAGCTCTTACAAAAATTCTATCTTTTAAAAGAAAAAAAGAGGAACTACACTGTCTTTTATGAATAAGTCAATATACATGAAACCTTATTGCCTATAATTAGGCTATAGAAATAGCAAAGGCCATAAACATAAAGTGAAAAGTTCAACCTCAACACAAAAAACAGTATCAACAATGCTTCTATTCCCAAAAAGTGAGGGTACCTTTTTTTCAGTTTAAATTAAAGTGCAGGATTTGGAAACATTTGACTGAAGCTCTTATCTAAACATAAAGTGCCACTGTAACGTTATATTAAAATACCATAACATGAAATCAAAAATGTCCCCACACACCGGACTTATAGACTTATAGGACGCTGGCGCATCCTCCAACTCCCTCATCTCTCCCACTTGCCATTTCTCCGCGTGCCGTGGCCTGCAGCGCTCCATACTCCACTTTTACTGGCTTGTTTACTAACTTGAACCGGCGCTGCACAGAGCGATCGGTAATGACATCAAATACCGCGAAAGTGAGTGACGGAGCCGTCGTTCCCGCTCTAGTGTGATGTTATTCACCGGTCGCTCTGTGCAGCGCCGGTCCAAGTCGAACAAGCTTATGTCGCGCGAAAAGAAAACACACGTCACATACGGGCACGAGGTTACATTGCGCATGCGTCGAACCGTGAGACGCACACACGCTCCGAACCGAGACAAGCGAACCGAACGGTTCGGGTGTTTTTTCATGTACCGTGCCACCCCTACTAAATGGTAATGTAATTTTTTGTTTATTTTTGTTTTAAGAGTTTATGTATGGAAGCTTGATTTCAATCTTTGAATTAAATTGAAAAAAGTAGCACAAATAAATACAATAGAATAAAGACACAAATTAAGAGACATTTTGGGGTAGTTTTTTGGGTATGTCAGAAATACTACAGAAACTGACTAAAGTAATCCAATGTAAAATAACACTGGATAGTCTTTTTAGTCCAGACTGAATTAAATACAAAGGCTATTAATTCTGATTGCTTACAATTAATACTAAATTCTGTTGTTATGACAACAGAATTAATGACTGACACAAATGGCTGCGTTCACTTTAAGAACTAGTGCGCAAATCCATTACTTTTTCATTAACTTTCTGTCACACGCGTTTAATGCTAATTTAAGACAGACATTACCGACTGTCTTTACGAGGTTACTCACCAAGACCAGAGTTTTGACATAATGTTGCGTGTTTTAACTGTTAAAGTGATATAATCCAGGGATAAAACTTTTGTTTCTGGCGAGCTGTTTGTGAGGCAGATTTAGGCTGTAACGTTACTGTGCACGCAGTGAAAGACATCTCTGAGAATGCGCGAGCACGGGATGGTTTAACATTGCTTGTAAAACTTAAAAAGACGTGAAAATGATAAACGTTAGTTACGATCATAGGTTACGATGCAATGCTGGCCCGATTGTTAAGTGAATATTCCGTCATGTCCCGACTCCTAAACGCGTGTGTGTATCCTGTATCGACAGCTGCAGCGCTTGGCGCTTGCCTAGTGCAGAGAGACGAGAAGATGCAGCACCGCGTCCGCGAGCCCTTTATATGGAAAAAATCGATTCGTGGCCTTTGAGAATCGATTTTGAATCGAACACATTTTAAAAAACGATTAATCGAAAAATCGATTTTTTTGCCCAGCCCTATTGTTCGTACACATTTGGTAATTCCTTAGACCACTTGTCTACTTGCTCCGGTGAATCTGGCTGGTATGTCTTACAGGGAACATATTTCTTAATAGTTTTTTTACGATGTGGGTTCGTCTTTCGCCTTCCTCCACATACTCCTCCTCATTGTCAACTTCAATTTCAGCCCTTCTTTTCTTGACAATTACAGGAGCGAGTCCAACCTTTTTGTTCTTCTTGGTGACATGAGCATATGTCTCAGGTTCAACATCACTGTTATCAGGGCTCCCAGTCGAGCTGCTGTCACTTTCTCCTAGCAGATAATGGCGTTGTTGATGCTCAAATCTTCTTGAGGTCTTTAAATGGGTAGAGTAATTCTTTCTCTCTCTTGCTGCTATATTTTATGGGTGTTTTTTGTCCAGAACAGTCTTTTAAATCCAGCTGTGTGGAAAGAAACTTCAACAGCTTGTCATTATCATTTAAGAGTCTTTCTTTGTCCTTCTTTTCCTTCTGCAATTGTTCAGCCAGTGCTCAAACCTTTGCTTTCTCTGCTTTGTACTCACGCTGTGATTTGTCAGTCTCACACTTCTGTCGATGCTGTAGAATTTGTTTTACCAAAATCACAGACAAGCCATCTCTGTTGGTGTTTGTCCTTAAGCGCTGCATCTTTCCATAAGCCCTTTTAATGTCCGGCAAGGCCCATATTCCTCTCTCTGAGTGCTTGATGCCGTACTTCTGGCATATGTCATCATGGCACTTCCTCAGTTCCAGCCTTTTGCCCAAATATGCATTCAGATTGTCCATCATCTGAGCAATGGTAACATTTGGAGATTTTGTTCCATGTATTTCTGTTGTTGGCCTCAGTGTAGGGCCATTACCATTTTTAGCGCAGACTCAGCCATAGCAAGTATAGGAGAAGTGGCCTCAAAGGTGTGGAAACAAAACAAAAAGTGTTTGAGCCGTTAAAGGTGCTTGTTCAAATTTAAATTTTCAGCAGTCTTTAGACTGACCATTTCAGTTATACAGACAAATCATAATTTTACTAACTCCTACAATCCTACATTCAAAACATTTACGTTTAGACTAAGTTTCTTTGTTTCATTTTTAGAAAAAAAACTCCTGATTGATAAGACTTGTTCAGTTCTTTCTGAGTTCTAACCTGAATTGGTTTAAATTTGTCCCTTAGACATTAGACTTTCAATCTTTCTGTATCTTTCATCGGATAAAATATTGGTTACCCAATTAGCACCAAGTCAAGAATTACCAATTCTTGCAGCAACATCAGTTACCAAACCATATACAGTTTCTGCAAGCTCTGGACGAACTGCATACTCCAGAGAAAGGACCAAACTTATACTTTATTTCAAAGGCTCCTACAGTCTCATGAGAACGGACCAAAGCTCTTTCTTAAATGATTCTTAGAGACTCAAGAGAACAGGGCCAAGCTATTTCTATAGCTCCTACAGTTTCAGGAGAATTGACTAAATCATTCAAAAGGTTCCTACAGACTCATGAAAAAGGCCCAAGCCTAAAATTAATCTTATATTGGACACTGAATTAGCACCCAGTCAAGAATTCACAATCCAATTCTTGCAGCAACATCAGTCCCAAACATTATACTATATTGCATTGGCTCCTACAATCCTCCTACATTTACAGGGTTCCTACAGACGCCCACGCCTAAATTTCTCAATACACAGTATGTGTGACTACACTACAAATCTGAGACTGGATCCAGTTGATTCAAATAAATTGTATCCACAGATGCAGTCTTTCGAACTTCAGTTACTCAAACTATTCCGTTTACTTCTTGTTGCAGTTGGTGAGTTCTCTTCTTGTCGGTCTCTCCTGGCTGGCTCGCCAAATTGTTAGATTTTGGTGTATTTGGCCGAGCAGTGGTTTGAGTGGCTCGCCAATGTATTAGATTTCTCCAATACATAAAGTATGTGAGCTTGACCAGAGTTCTTGTGGGGAGAAGAATTTATTGAAGGTTTGTAGTGTACCAGTCCTTCAGCAGTGATGTCCGCATGTTCCCCTCCAACAATAATAACCCAAAGTTCTGTCTGTGAGACAGAACTTTATACATGAAGACATAGCCTATGGGCTACAAACAATAGAAACCTGTTAGGACCTCCCACAGGAGATCGATCTAACTTGTTAATCCACTCTGAGCAATGATGATTCTTTGTCATTCACACTAATCAGTTTCTGTGGGCCATACATCTGAATGGGCCATTTGACACACACCTTTGGAGACACAGAACGAGTGGATTACATCTGATACATAGTAAATGCATCTGACCAAAGTTAACTGAAAATACACATAATCTTTCACTAGGCTAACGTAAGGTTACAGTAAATCCATGATAAATTGATTCAGTATCAATTCAGATTCTGACTGGATTGTTGCGCAGTGTTTCTCTTGTTGGACAGCGCTGTTTCGTCTGTCTTTAAACTGGTTTAAATTGGACATTTGTGTTCTTTGCTGAATTCAGGCGCTTCTCACTGGATGGAGTCGTGAGCGAGGCCGATCAGAGTAAACGCACATCTGCTCTTGTGAGAGACCTGATCAGAAAAATCTAAGTTGCGCCATATGGTCTCATTGACAAATGCGAAACAATTAGTTTGTGCGTTCATGACCTCAAGGCTAGATTATTGTAATGCTCTACTGGGTGGTTGCCCTGCTGGCTTAATAAACAAACTTCAGCTGGTCCAAAACGCAGCCGCTCGAGTTCTTACCAGAACCAGGAAGTATGACCATATTAGCCCGGTTCTGTCAACCCTGCATTGGCTGCCGATTAAGCTGTATGCTCCGTCAAGGGCCTCAAAGTTGGTGTCAAAAGATGGCAGTATTGTTTATGTTAATTAGTGTTAATATCATGTTAGATAATTGTGTCATTAATCAAATATATTTAGTAGTTCTTGCTAAAGAAACATGTGCCTATAATGTTTTAAAAAATAATAATTGGAAGATGCATTTTCCTTATTTATGGAAAGTTTCAATGAAACGTAATCGATTTATAAAAAGCCATGAAATTATCAAAATATTTTATAGCAGTTGTCTACTTTCTACATTACATCAGGCCTCACTTGCATGTCCTTTCACTTTATATTTCTTTCTTTGAATTATTTTGATGTACTAAAAATCAAAAGTACTATTTTTTTCAGACCTGATGGAGGAGAGTGAAGAACTGAGTGAAGTGGAGGAGGAACATCATGTCCAACCTGGAGAGAAACCCTTAAGTCGCTCAAAGACTAAACAAACATTTTTAAAGAAAAGACGAGCCAAGAAATCTTTCACCTGCACTCAGTGTAGGAAGAGTCTCACAACCAAACAAAGTCTTGAGATTCACATGAGGATCCACACCGGAGAGAAGCCGTTCTCATGTGATCAATGCGGGAAGAGTTTCAGTCAATTAGCAAACCTTAATCTTCACATGAGGATCCACACCGGAGAGAAGCCGTTCTCATGTGATCAATGTGGGAAGAGTTTCAGTCAATCGTCACACCTTAATGTTCACATGAAGATCCACACTGGAGTGAAGTCGTTCTCATGTGATCAATGCGGAAAAACATTTCTTAGGTCATCAGACCTGAAGACACACCTGATGGTTCATACGAAGGAGAAGCCGCATTCATGTTCTGTGTGTGGAAAGAGTTTTTCACTACTGCAACATTTACATAGACATAAGAAAACTCACACTGGTGTGAGAGACTACATGTGCTTTAAGTGTGAGAAGACTTTTACTACAGCGGGCAATTTAAAACTGCACCAGAGGATCCACACTGGAGAAAAACCTTACAAGTGTTCACACTGTGATGAGAGATTCAGTCACTCATCATCTGTGAAAACACATGAGAGGATCCACAATGGAGAAAAACCTTACATGTGTTTACACTGCGACAAGAGATTCAGTCAATCATCAAATCTGAAAACACATGAGAGGATCCACACTGGAGAGAAGCCGCACACTTGTGATCAGTGCGGGAAGAGATTCATTGACTCATCATCCCTTAAAAATCACATGATAATGCACACCGGAGAGAAGACGTTCTCATGTGATCAATGTGGCAAAACATTTCTTAGGGCATCAAACCTGAAGGTACACCTGACAGTTCATACGAAGGAGAAGCCGTATTCATGTTCTGTGTGTGGAAAGAGTTTTTCACTGCTGCAAACTTTACACGGACATCAGAAAATTCACACTGGTGTGAGAGAGTACATGTGCTTTGAGTGTGAGAAGACTTTTACTAGAGCGGACAGTTTAAAACACCACGAGAGAATTCACACTGGAGAAAAACCTTACAAGTGTTCACACTGCGACAAGAGATTCAATCAATCATCATCTCTGAAAACACATGAGAGGATCCACACTAAAGAGAAACCTTACATGTGTTTCCACTGCGACAAGAGATTCAGTAGTTCTTCATCTCTGAAAAAACATGAGATGATCCACACTGGGGAAAAACCTTTCAAGTGTTCACACTGCGACAAGAGATTCAGTCACTCATCATATCTGAAAATACATGAGAGGATCCACACTGGAGAAAAACCTTACAAGTGTTCACACTGTAAAAAGAGATTCAGTCAATTAACACATCTAAAAACACATGAGAGGATCCACACTGGAAAAAAACCTTACAAGTGTTCACACTGCGACAAGAGATTCAGTCACTCATCACATCTGAAAACACATGAGATGATCCACACTGGAGAAAAACCTTACAAGTGTTCACACTGTAAAAAGAGATTCAGTCAATTAGCAAATCTGAAAAGACATGAGAGGATTCACACTGGAGAGAAGCCGCACACGTGTGATCAGTGCGGTTCGAGTTTCTCTATTAAAAGTCACCTAAAGCTACACATGAAGATCCATACAGTGGAGAAACCACTTAAACACAGTCTGAGATCACGGTAAGTAGTTTACATTCATGTGCTGAGCAACAAAGTCTCTTCTGTGTAAGTTAGATCACATCACCCTATAGCCAAATCTCTCCTCTCCACCTATAGCCGGTGTGTGGTGAGCACAGGACACTTGGTTGATTGATTGATATCTATTAACTTGCTCAACCAACAGGAATGTCTAATTTGTCAGTTCAGGTCAATGCAAAATGCTGACAGTAGTTGGCACTCATGTAAAGCAGAAATGCTTTCTTTCACTTTTATTGTCCCAATTTACATTTAAGTCTCCCATTAGAACGTCCTCATTATTAAAGTCACTAACACTCAGAAGTGCCTTAAATTGATAAAAAAAATCTACTTTTGTTGAAGGCGGACGATAAAGACATAAAACAGTAAATGACATTTCTGCTGAGAGTGACGCTTTAACTCCAACACATTCAATTGTGATTTCATTAGGCCAAATTATTTGGGTACATTTTAAAGAGTCCTTCATATACAAGAACACCCCTCCCCGCTTACCTTGATGCATATCCTTTCTAAAGACATTGTAGCCTTGTAATGATACCACTGCTTGTGGAGAAGAGGGCTTAAGTCAGGTTTCTGAAAGTCCCAAGAAATCTACATATAAGTTAATAGCCGTGTTTCCAGGGCTAACGCCGAGCCGAGCAAGTGGCCTCGGGCCTCAAGCACCGGGCTTGCGTTTCCACTGCCGGGCCAGTAGCCCCGCTGCGCTGCCCTAAACCCCGCCTCTAACACGCCTTTCTGGATCAAACGTCATACAACCCAACCCATTTCAGCAGGTATTATGAATTTATTTATTTTTAAGTTAGGAAGATTGCATGTACTGTATATTAAAGGGTTAGTTCACCCAAAAATGAAAAATTGAAAAATTAAAAAAAAATGTAGAATGAAAATTATGTCATTAATGACTCGCCCTCATGTCGTCCCAAGCCCTTAAAACCTCCGTTCGTCTTCGGAACACAGTTTAAGATATTTTACATATAGTCAGAGAGCTTTCTGTCCCTCCATTGTAAATCTATGTATGGTATACTGTCCTTGTCCAGAAAGGCAATAAAGACATCATCAGAGTAGTCCATGTGACCCCAGTGGGTTAGTTCGAATTTTTTGAAGCATGGAAAATACATTTTGTTCCAAAAATAACAAAAACGACAACATTATTCAGCATTGTATTCTCTTCTGGTTCTGTTGTCAATCCGTCAATCCAAGTCCAGTGACGCTGCTGACGTGTTATCTGGTGTGTCGTGTATTCGTCTTTACTCCCTCAGACTGTAAACGAAGCTCGGGCGCACAAGATAACACGTCAGCTCGTCTTACGTCAGCGGAATCGTAAACATGGATTGACACCAGAACCGGAAGAGTATACAATGCTGAATAAAGTTGTCGTTTTTGTTATTTTTGGAACAAAAGTATACCGTACATAGATTTTCAATAGAGGGACAGAAAGCTCTCGGACTAAATCGAAAATATCTTAAACTGTGTTCCGAAGATGAACGGAGGTCTGACGGGCTTGGGACGACATGAGGGTGAGTCGTTAATGACATAATTTTCATTTTTGCGTGAACTAACCTTTGAACTCACCGGTCATGGCTGCAATAGTGTCCCGATTGTCTCGCGAGTCGCCACTAACAGAGGGACGGTGACCCAGCACATCGTCCATCAAGTCGAACCATGGAAAGTTCCTTCTCTAAACTCCGCTTTGTCCACTGTGCATTTTAATCTTGAACAATACCTGCACCCACAACCTTCAGAAAGTTCAGCATCGATGTATTTTAAAACGTCCTCATTTCTTCACACGTCGTCAAAATTGACGTTGTACTCTTTCTTTTAAAGAGCTTTGGTATCCTCGACAGACCAGTACAGGCGATTCTCCATTTCCAGCATCGATTATTTTGCGCGATATAAAAAGTGAAATGTGCATCTTGCTTCAGATCATAACTTTCCCTAACACCGATAAACTCCGCCTTTTACCTTGAGCACGCCTCTAGCTCGAGCCGGCCCGCTTTGGCCCAAGGTATTCGACGGGCCAGAAATCCTGGCCGTTGGCCCCAAGTAAGCCCCGATCAAGCCCTGGAAGTGACAGTGGAAACGCTACCGGCCCTGGCTCGCCCTAACACGGCTCAGCCCTGGCCCGGCAGTGGAAACGCGCCTAATAAGAAGATGCTCCAATTGTTCCCTCTTAGGGGCAATGCTTCGTCTGTTCAGATGGCCACCTAAGAGCCCTTTGTTTTTACACTGTGGATCCCATAAAATCCTAGCGTGAGACCACCACAGACACTAGAGATCTTGTTCCTTTAAGACATGAATAAAGACACGGGAACCCCGTATCTCAAATCATCTACTACAGTTTCCTGATAGTCAACTGATTTTATTTGGTCACTTCATATCCACCACACTCTTTTCTTATTTTTTGTTTTGTTTTGTTTCTTTTTTCTACACCTTGTCGCAGTCATTATGTGAACAGGGATATATTTTTTTTCATGCTATTTTTCATGTTACGTTATTATATCCTGAGCAATCATCTAATTATTCAATCAAAATATGCCATCTCTGTTGTAATCAGATATCGAATTATGTGGAATACTACGATGCCAAAGAACTTTACTACATGTTGATACTCCCTTAAAAGCTGTAACCTTTGTGTACTTGGTTTGCAGATTATAAGGAACAGACCACCACAGACTCTAGAGATCTTGTTCCTGTGGGACATGAACAGCAGAGAGTTGAAGATGCCATGAGGAGAAACAGACCACAACAGACTCTAGATCTTGTTCGCCTTGCCAAATATATAATAACTATATAATATAATAACTAGTGCTGTCAAACGATTAAAATATTTAATCGCATTAATGTAGTTAAAGCTATGGTATACGATGTTAAAAATCGGTCGAGACGGTAGGGAAGTTTTAAAAAACTCATCCCGCCCCTCCACACACACCCCCCTCCCCTCTGCGCTACCTGATCCCTGACGTATGTCACGTTTGAGTTCACGTCAACGCAAGATTAGCAACACATGAAATGTTCTAAACTCCCCACCACCATTATAATACTACAAGTATTGCTAAGGTTTTCAGTAATTGTTATTGCAGCATGCAGCGCATCTTGTTCAAATTCCGATCGGCTCGAACAGAAACCTCGAACAAGAAATATAATTACTTTGAACCGCGATCGGCGATGCTAAACGGCTAACATTCCAATGCCGACCGGCAGCATGAGCAAGTTGTCAAACTGATAAAAAGCCACGTAACACGTCACACCATAAAAGAATAAATAAATGTTTACCTGCTCAACAAAAAGTCATCCGTGTCAGCGTCGTTTTCAGCCCCAGATCTCCCTGAAGTTTTCTCCAATGGTCAATGAAGGACGCTATATTTATCCTACTTAGAGTCCGGCGTTCTTCACATTTCTTTTTAATCTCTGATCTTTCCTCCACAGACTTTCTCTTGCGTCCAAACTTTACAGTAGAAGCAAGCAGGGGCCGCTTGCTGTTGTCCTTTATATTTTTATCCATTGCTTTATCCATTGCTGATCTGACTCTACTAGCTAGCTACCATAGACAGTCTGTCAGCTGTTTGCTCGCGCACGGAGGGGGGCGGGTGCGGTTGGGTTGGAGACGCGAGCGCCAGGCGGAGTTTCAAGTGGAGCTGGTGATTGGATGAGAGCAGTTGACCAATATAAGCTGTGCGGCCGCACAGCTTAAATTGGTCAACTTTTCTGCGGCTGTACAGCCAATAGAGTGAATAGATTTTTTTCGTTCTTTTTTCTATTCATATTGTTAGGATTGTACTATATAACCATAACCAGCATCTAAACGAGGATATTAATAATGAACAATCTTTGAAATCGTATACCCTAGCTTTAACTCGTGATTAATCGCACATTTTTATCTATTCTAAATGTCTCTTGATTTCTTTTTGTACCTTTTTTTTCCTCATTTTAATGCTCTTATCAACGTGGAAAAATGGATCGGCTTGCTTTGTGCAAATGTTTTTTTTTTATTGAAAACAACATATGTTCAAATTCCCATTAAAAAAAAATCTCACTTGGAGCAAATAATCTCTCACACAATGTAAAACAGTCCATCAATAAAAGGGTGAAAGAAATACTGATGAGGTCCTGATATTGACGTGGGGGTGAAGAATTCGCATCAGCTGTGTGTGTGTGCTTGGCGGTATAATCAAGCGTTATTTCAGACTGGATGTGCTGCGATGATGATAGCTCCGTTCACAACGACAAAACACACAGATCACTTTGGTCTTGTCAATGGAACCATTTGGCAAGTTTTTAGTAAAGTAAACTTTCTATTCAGAATTGTATTGGCATCCATTTCGGCGTCTCGCGCTCGTCATCCACTCAACGTAACGCTAACCAACTTTTTGGCCGGCTCGCAAGCCCAAACGAGTGTGTGCGGCGTGCCTGTTTTGTTTCCGGTCTAGCTAGATCCGCTTGTGCTTTGGTCCTCGCGTCCTCGCGCGGCGCAAGCTATTGAAATGGTTTCATAGCACAGCGCACGCCGCGTCCAGTTGCAAAAGCATGTGTAAGGCCAAAAAGACATTAATCGCGCGATAAAAATAAAATAGGTTTGCGTTAACGCCGTTAATAACTCGTTTAACTGACAGCCCTATGTTTAAATATATAAAAAGTGTAAGCATCATGCAAGTGTATTTATTTGCACTTTAATTAAAATATATATTGGCTATATTTATAACAATGTGCTGAAAATTATCATTGATACAATGCATTGAAAGTAAACTTTCAAAATACATTTTTAAATATCCTGAAGTTGTATATTTTAAGTTAAATTTGAGAGAAATGTTTAAGTTTACTTGTAACACAAATAAAGTGTACTTCAATATCACTAATCAAGCATGTAATTAGTCCCTGCAGGCCTTCCAAGTACTCCCAAGTTGTTCCAATTTAGCACACAAATGTACACTAAATACACTTAAAAGTTGTGCTCTACTACTACATCGACAATGCCTTTAGAAAGCACAGCAGAAATGTGAAGTCGATCTGACTAAATCCCTAGGAGGAGTTCGTTAAAGTATGTAATGAGTAAATCATCCAAAAATGGCTTCTGTTTGAGTTTAGGGCATCGCTCCAAGAGACTTTTCTGTGCGTCTGGACATGGTAGTTGTACCATAAAAATTTCGTACATGTCGGTCAAACATGCGGCGGGGGCTGCTTTATTAAAGGTCACTTCCTGTTGCCAGCAGGTGGCGCTATGACTGGGTGAATGTCGGCATGTAGATTTGTTCAGGGTGAGACTTGTCAAATGTGTAAAATTTCATGCAGATCTGGGCATTTAGGGGTGTTGGAAGAATATCAACAAAAGTACTATGAATGTCAATATATTTAGAGATTCGCCAAAGTCTATATGCAGCCTTGTTGCACCAGGTAAAAGCTTTAGTATAAGGGAATTTGGTCATCCAGACATCAATCACACATCAAGTCTCTCCATTAATTAAATAAACTTTGAATTAAGTGATGAGGATTGATCAGATGGTCATTTATCAAGAACACTGTCAATTGCAATATTGAAATCCCCACCTATAGGCTAACAAGCAAATACTTTGGATTTTTATTCAGCTAGTATCTATAGTCTACTTTCTATAAACTCAAGAAAACTTGCATTCTCTGACCTTGAATTAAAACCATAAATATTGGCCAAAATAATAAAGTTGAATTGAGATCAATGACATTACACAAACGAGCGACCATATGAATCACAGTCTGTTGGCCCGTTTTTTAAATTAGTTTTAATTGACAAATAATTCAAATTACAAATTTCAGCATACACCAAGAATGCTTTACATGACAAATATCACATGTCCTGAAACAAGTTAAACGAAACAAAAAGAAACAAAAAGAGAAAAAAACTAAATATTTCTTCGGTTTTTTTTTTGTTTGTTTTTTGACAAGTTCAATGTTCATAGAATTTGGTAAACGTGTGGGCATTAATTAACATTAAAACAATCCCTCCATAAAGTTTAACAACATTTCATTCTTTTTATTTTTAATTAATTTTAATGACTTCCTCAGTGATTCAATCTCTATTAAGAATAGGCTACAATGCATTTTGCAAATTTTTTGTTTATGGATATAATATTTACCATGCAAAATTAAGAAATTCCCTACATATTCATACAATTTGCTCCTCTGTGTGTTTAAGAACATTTAACATCTTTTAGAGATCATTTATAATTCACTTTTCTTGGGGCAAGAAGAAAATGGCTAACATTTTTAGATAAATTACAATTATAAAACAGATGAGCCAAGTCTTCCTCATTTACATTAAAAGAAAATTTGTTGGCAATGTCCATGAATTTGGATAACAAAGCTTTACACGGGTAGATTTTATGAAGTATTTTAAAGTGTCTGTTGGCGTGTTTTCGAACATTTACGGTTGCTGCTGATGACGTCACCACTCACTCGCGCCGTCTCCTCCGTCATTGAGTTTCAGTGCGCATGCGCTCGCTGCGAATAACGTCGCGCTGCTGAGGCGGGTGTATTTCAGTGAACGAGAACGATTAACTGAACTAGTTTCAGCGTCGAGTCTTCTGAGGTGAGGAGAGCAGTGACACCGGGTGGACAGGTGTGGTCGTCATTTAACAGCGTTCCTTTCTATCTTGTCAATCCCTGGCCAGGACCGAGCGAGTGTTGGCGACGCGGCTTGTTAAGACTTCTTGAGAAGATAAAGAATTATTGTGACTGTCTAAACACCGTATTTCCTCCTTTATTGGTACTCCTTATTTAGGAGTGTAACGCACTGTCACTCATAGCATGTCTATTTGACATCTGCAGGAAACGTCCTATAGATGTCTTGCAAATGAGCAAACACTCTTAAAAATACGTCTTCCAGATGTAAATAGGACATCAAACAACCTTGTGCTATCTGGGACATTTTACATCTCATATGTGTTGGGAAAAGTGAGAAGAGACTTCGGCAAAAGGCGGATTTGAACTCGCGACGAGCACATTAAAACTTGATTCACGCGCTTTGCGCGCTACGACCTCAGAACCGGTTCCCTATTGGCATCGAGTTTCGGTACCCGACCCTAGACCTACGCCACTTCAGCTGTGACGTGACCGGCGTCTTTTTTCATGAAAGACAGGCACTTAGTGCAAACATACGATCCGTTTTATCAAACCGTCCCTCGCGGCCTCGAAACACTACTGGCCCACCTGCGAAACTCCCGACTCTCCCGATTGCCACTGGTGTCCAGGGCCCCTTAGATCAGTGTTTCCCAACCCTGTTCCTGGCGGCACACCAACACTGCGCGTATTCTTTGTCTCCCTTATCAAACACACCTGATTCAACTTCATCAGCTCATAATCACATGGGTTAATGAGCTGAGGAGTTGAATCAGGTGTGTTTGATTAGGGAGACAAAGAATACGCGCAGTGTTGGTGTGCCGCCAGGAACAGGGTTGGGAAACCTTAGATGTCGTGGGCCCCTGGGCAAGGTCCTGTATCCTCACTTACCTCACATACAAGTTCGTTGTCTGAATATTACACTGAATGAGGAGACTCGTGAAATTCACTCAACTACATTCATTCAAATGTAACACATTAAACATCACCGCCGATTAACGACCACGTATCTAAACTAAGAATGATTTATAACACTAAACAATATTATCCCTTATAGATTCGAATCCTATTTATACTTTAACCAGTTATGTGGTGGACTTTTGGCTGACATGGCTGAATGTCTTCCTCTTATCTGAGTTACAAAGTATTTTTTAAATAATCCATGCGATCACTCCCGTCCCGTGTGATAACCAATCCATTTTAAATTAACTCAAATACAATACTTCAAATTTCCATATCCACCCCAGCCCGTTTACCTTCAGGAGTCA